CAGGACGATATGAACAAATTTATTCTGATTGTCTCAAATCATCCCGGCTGATTGGGCTTATTTTGGACTGATCGTACAGGATGATATTAATATCATCTTGGATGATAAAGTCGGCAACTTGCATTAATGAGATCATTTTGAGATCTTCTATTTAAGCTTTAGCAAGGCACTTTGGAAGTGTCTTTAGCAGTCATTATAGCTTCGTTCTTTTGGGGAAAACTTGAATAGAGAGCTTAAAAGGGAGTGAGGAACGGGTGAAGTCTGAGAGAGGGAGAAGATTTTGTGAGGGGGACTCAAGGGAGTGTGGAGGGGGATTCCACACGGTTGCTCTGGCAGGCTTGCACCTTAATACCGTCGGATGTAAGGTTTGTCTCGAGGGAAGTTCACCAAAGAAGAAGTTCTTTTTGGTGTCAAAGGACCCGGCAACTCCATCACATTGGGGAAGGTGGAAGTGATTTTGTATGGGCTTCTCTGCCTAGCTGTGGGGGCTAAAGGAGAGACACTTAGTTTAGTGCAATACTTGGAGGGTGCCTCCATGGAGTGGATGTAGGTCAAGGTTTGACCAAACCACTATAAATCTGGTGTATTCTTTCCTTTATTACTTCCGCATTTAATTTCTACATCGTTGATTTCTTTATGATGATTTTGGTTTGTTGTCTTTGGTTTAAAGATTCTTTTAATACCAATTCACCTCTCCCTTTTAATTAGCCTTGGGCTAGTTCATAGGGCGTAACATCCCTAACGAAGATTCTTTCAAGTGGTATCAGAGCGGAATTCATAAAAAACAAGTTTTTAAAAGCTTTTGAATTTTGATCCATGGCTAATTTTTCAAATCATAATATTGCGGAAGGTTATTCAATCACCAGACCACCTTTGTTTGAAAATATTATATTTGATTTTTAGAAAATTCGCATGTCTATTTTTGCGTAATTAATTCATTTTCACATTTAGAATATGATTTTAACTGGTTATACATTACCATCACATGTTATAAATGAAATTAAAACTTATATTCCTTTTAATCAATGGAATAGGGAAGAATAATTCAATGCTCAATTGAATGCAAAATCATTAAATTTCTTTTTCTGTACTTTAAATTCTGAAGACTTTATGTTAGTATCCACGTGCACTGCTGAAAAGGAAATTTGGGATAAAATACACACCATATTCGAAGGCACTAGTGAAATCAAGCAATCCAAGTTGAATATGTTAATGCATGACTATGAATTATTTTCAAAGAATCCTTATGAGATGATCTTAGACATGTATACTAGGTTTATTCAAATTATAACATCATTGCATGCTTTAGGAAAAGAATGATCAAATTTTAAAAAGTTAACAAAACTCTTTGTTGTCTATTGGATAAGTTTGATGCTAAAGTAATTGCTATTTGTGAATTAAAAGATTTGAATGAATATTCTATTGATAATTTGATTGACTCACTCATTGCCTACGAGCAAAGTTTGGGTCAAAAACTTATGGATGTAAGTGAAACAATTGTTCTAAAAGCTGAAGATATATAAAAAGATATCTTAGTTGGTGACGAATGCAATGACTTGTCAAGCAAATCAAAAAGCTCACCAAAGCATAAGCCTCAACAAAAGAGGAATAAAGATAAAAATGGTAAGGATGTTAATATTTCTTCTGACGTTATTTATTTTCGGTGTAGGAAGCCTGGACATATGAAAAATCAGTGCCCTAATTTAAGAATTCTTCCTGCGAAAGAAAAGGGTAAAGAGAAGCAAATTTTAAACTGAGGAAATAATGAAAAGCAAAAAATCTCCTGGGCAGACCTGGTTTCTGAAGCATCAGACCAGAAGAAAGATAATGGTTAAAAGCCTTGTTTGTGTGTTTGTGTTGTGTTTTGTTTTTAGTCATTTTCTTTTCTTTTTTATTTTGTTTCAATTTAATTTTTTTTTTGTCTTTGTTTATTCTTTGATTTTTTTCTTATTTCATAAAAATTTTTCTCTGATCAACACAGATATTCACTTTTCTAAAAATAAAAAAATCTACTTCCTATTTTTTTTTCTTGAAATCTTTGGTAAGTTGTGATTGACTTCTCTAAAAACAGTCAAAGAAAAGAAACTCATGTTTTTTACTCTCAATCTCTGTTTCCTAAAAGAAATTATTCTACTTTTCATTTAAAATCTTTTTCATATTTTAAATTAGTCTTTGAAACTAAAATTTTTTATCTCCCTACATTTTATTTATCGCATATGGATCTTTTGCAAGTTGTTGAATCTAACTCATAATTTTCTTAATCAAGATTTTGTTTTGTCAATAGGATGGGTTTACTTTTGCTTTTAAGATTTTAGAAAAGTAGCATATTCAAAAAATTAGCCAATGATGTCAAAAAATAAAAGATACGCAAAGACGCCAAATTGAAAAATATACACAAAAGTGTATCAAAAATCAAAACATGCGCATAGAGTGCCATTTAAATTGACAAGAGGCATAAAATGAGCCCACAAAATTTAATGCTTATCATTCTTATACTTCTTAAAAGCTTAAGAAAACCCTTGATACTTTTGATACTTGATTTTGAAAAACATGATTCTTGATTCAACAATTCGTGTATTAATCTCCTATTAGATATAATTTATGAAAGGAGTTTTGAAAAATTAGTGTTTCTTTTTCTACTTTATTCCTTGATTTAGATATTGAATTAAAAAGTTTTTGAGCCTTTTTAAAGAACTTGAGTTTGGATTATCAAATTCTGAATTTCTAACCGTTTTTGAGCTATGCGTTGTCAATATAATTCTACTAAGTTTTTGATTAAAATCAAGAGGCAACTTTCTCATTTCAAGAATATTTGTTTTGTTCACTAGATCAGAGATCGTTTTGTCTTTTAATTATTTTGTTTATGCCTTTCTCTTTTGGATAATATCAAAGGGGGAAAACGTACTGCTGAATTTGTATTATTTTTCCTTTTTTTTTTCTTTGAAAAAATTAAAAAATAATAAAAAAAAATTATCTCCCCTATTTTTAAAAGTTTTATTCTAGTAAGGGGAGATTAGGAGAAAATGTTTTCATCTTTACAAATTCAAAATTGCAATGTTTGTCATTATCAAAAAGTGGGAGATTATTGTGGATCTATTTTCATGGATTATGATTTTGATGATAACAAACACTCTTATTATAAATACTCTTATTTCTCTACGACTGTCTTATTTACTGACATTGCAGGTTCATAAGATCGGACTGTAATTTAGAATCAGCTCAAGATTTGGTAGATTAGGTCTAAGTCAATTTGTAACCCTTTTCCTTTCTTGAGTCTATTGTATGTGGTGTGGCTCCTGATGCTTTGTAACTTGGAAGATTTTCTAACTGTTCCCTAAAGTTTACTATTTTTTGTAACATCATCCTAGATGATCGGTTCAAAAGCAGAAACCCTGATTTTGGTATCCTCATTAAAATAGCTGTCATTATGCAAAAAGATTGTCCTGGACGATTTTGTATCGGCCAGGATGAAAGGCTCAAAATAGAAAGAATATGCCGCCAAATCTATTTAGGAATTACTTATTTTTAGACATCGTCTAGGGGATCGTCCAGGACTATAAAATATCGTCCAAGATGATCCAGGACATTTTTTCCAAAATTAATCTAGTATTTAAGGAAAGCAATTATGACTTGATTGGACGATCAAATCATCCTGGACAATCCCAGGATTGTCTGGGACGATACGCTGGACGATTGGACATCGGACAGCTCTTTTTTAGGGCAATGTTCAGGACGATATTCCATGATATATTTTGATCATCCAGGATGATATATTATTGTCCTGGACGATATGAACAAATTTCTTCTGATTGTCTCAAATCGTCCCGGCTGATTTGGCTTATTTGCATTGATCGTACAGGACGATATTAGTATCATCTTGGATGATAAAGTCTGCAACTTGCATTAATGAGCTCATTTTGAGATCTTCTATTTAAGCTTTAGCAAGGCACTTTGTAAGTGTCTTTGGGCTTCATTCTTTTGGGGGAAACTTGAAGAGAGAGCTTGAAAGGGAGTGAGGAACTGGTGAAGTCTGAGAGAGGGAGAAGATCCTGTGAGGGGGGACTCAAGGGAGTGTGGAGGGAGATTCCACATAGTTGCTCCGGCAGGCTTACACCTTAATAACGTCGGATTCAAGGCTTGTCTTGAGGGAAGTTTACCAAAGAAGAAGATCTCTTTGGTGTCAAAAGACCTGATGACTCCGCCGCACCGGGGAAGGTGAAAGTGATTTTGTAAGGGCTTCTCCGCCTAGCTGTGGGGGTAAAGGAGAGATACTTAGTTTAGTGCAATAGTTGGAGGGTGCCTCCAAGGAGTGGACGTAGGTCAAGGTTTGACCGAACCACTATAAATCTAGTGTGTTCTTTCCTTTATTACTTCCGCATTTAATTTCCGCATCGTTGATTTCTTTATGGTGATTTTAATTTGTTGTCTTTGGTTTAAAGATTCTTGAAATATCAATTCACCTCTCTCTTTTAATTAGCCTTGGGCTAGTTCATAGGGCCTAACATCTCTAACGAACATTCTTTCAACAAATATAACATGAGAAACGATGTCATTGTTGAAAGAATGGGAAAAACAAGCCTTCGATTAAAGCCATAGGTCACGGCTTGTTGCGTTGTGGGAGACATCAATTGATGGAAATTAAATATCTAAGAACATGTAAATATTCTCTCCAAAGTTCGGCTTATGGTTTTGTGGGAGACTGGCTACTAGAAGCCTAGAACAAAGGAATGAGAAGAGAAGCTCCACCTCTGCTTTGGCCTTTCATAATTTAGTCGTGATATTCTTACATAATTCTTCTTTAAAATATTATTAATATTTATTTATTGAAAGTATAACACATATATTTATGTATATATTTTAATGTGCTCTAAACACTGAAATGGTAAATAAATAAAAATAAATATTTAAGTATTAGATATAGCAATATATAAAAATTTTATAGCATGTATATTAATCACCCAAAATTTTATTTCAAAATAAGTGTATATGTTAAAATTTTATAAGCAAATATATGCACTCCTTTTCTCTTTGCCAATGAAATGAATCAATGGCTTCCGCCTCGGCTTTCAGTTTCAACAATAGAGCCACCCGTATGAGTCGCCGTAGCTGCAGCTACCGCCGCCTCCACCCTAATGCTTCTCCGCTTACCAAAGGCAACGAAGACAACTACTTCAAGACTCTTCTCCACAAACACTCTTCCCCTTCTCTCTCCCTTAACCAACTCACCTTCCCACTTTCTATCTCTATTTCAAGAATGCAAGTCGTCTTCACACATTCGCTGTCTATACCAACAAATCCTAGCACGAGGCCTCCTCTCCCCTCTGCCTTCAACTTCTTCTTTGGAATCTCCCTTGTCTCAACAATTAGGCGCGGTCATCGTGTCTTCTTACCTCGCTTGCAGTGCCCTTACTGATGCTATAACAGTTCTGGAGCGTCTTACACCCTCTCCAATCCTATGGTGGAATCTTCTCATCCGACAGAACGTCCAAACCTGCAAACTTTACAGCGCTTTCTCCCTTTGTTTCCGGCTGCGGCATGCCGGAGCGAGGCCGGATCAGTACACTTTCCCGTTCGTCCTTAAAGCTTGTGGCGAGCTTCCATCTTACCGCAGAGGAACTCTCGTCCACGCTCTCATTTGTACCAGTGGCTTTGATTCCAATGTCTTTGTGTGCAATGCTTTAATTACAATGTACTCCAGGTGCGGCGTTTTTGTGGATGCCTGCCAAGTATTTGATGATATCACTAAACGGGGAATAGATGATGTTATTTCATGGAATTCCATCGTGGCGTGTTATGTGAAGGGAGGTAGTCCTCAGTTTGCCTTGAAACTTTTTGCAGAGATGGGGAATGGAGTTAGTGAGAGTAGTAGTAAGAGGTCTGATGTTATAAGCTTGGTTAACATTCTTCCTACCTGTGCTGCTTTAAGAGCTTTGTTGCAGGCTCGGGAAATTCATGGCTATGCTATGAGAAATGATCTTTATTGGGATGTCTTTGTAGCAAACGCATTCATTGATGTTTATGCCAAGTGTGGGATGATGGAAGATGCACTGAAAGTTTTTCAAGGAATGGGAAACAAAGATGTGGTTTCCTGGATGCAATGGTCACTGGTTACTCACAAAATGGCAAATTTAATGAGGCTTTAGAGCTGTTCAATGAGATGAGAAAGAATAAAATAGAATTAAATGTTGTGACTTGGAGTTCAGTGATTGCTGGATATGCTCAACATGGTCATGGCCATGAGGCTCTTGATGTTTTCAGGAAAATGCAGCTTGCTGGTTCTAATCCTAATTCAGTCACCAACATCTCTCTGTTATCAGCTTGTGCTTCTGTGGGAGCACTGTCTCAAGTAATGGAAGTACATGCTTATGCTCTTAGAACATGCCTTTTGGTTTCAGATGATGATTGTGATGAAGAAGAAGATCTCATGGTGCAAAATGGCCTTATAGATATGTATTCAAAGTGCAAGTATTTCAATTCAGCTCATTTGATATTTAGTTCCATACGACTGAGTAAAAGGAATGTGGTAACCTGGACTGTGTTAATTGGTGGTTATGCTCAGCATGGAGATGCCAATCATGCACTTGAGCTCTTCTCAACCATGTTAAAAGATGGCTCTTCTTCCCCTAATGCTTTTACCATATCATGTGCTCGATGGTCAGTCCTGCAATTTGGTCGTGAAATCCATGCTTATGTCTTCCGAAATCAATCTGAGGGCGAGATACTGTTTGTTAACAATTGTCTTATTGATATGTACTCAAAATGCGGTCATATTGATGTTGCCCATAAAGTCTTTTATAGAATCCCTGAAAAGAATTATGTATCTTTTACATCATTCATGACAGGTTATGGAATGCATGGTCGCGGAGAAGATGCCTTATCAATCTTTGCAGAGATGCAAAAATCTGGTCTTTCTCCTGATGGTGTAACCTTCCTTGTCCTCCTCTATGCTTGTAGCCATTCTGGCATGGTTGAACAAGGGTTAAGGTATTTTGAAACCATGGGTAAGGACTGTGGACTAGTAGCTAGTTCTGAACACTATGCTTGTCTTATTGATCTGTTAGGCCGTGGTGGTAGACTGACTGAAGCGTGGGAGAAGATAATTAAAATGCCTAAAGAACCTTCTTCTGTTGTCTGGGTGGCTTTACTTGGTGCTTGTAGAATTCATTCTGATGTTGAACTTGCTGAATATGCTTTTAAGCAGTTAATAGAATTAAAATATATAAATGATGGAACTTGCACTCTTCTATCCAATATATATGCTAATGCAGGGCTTTGGCAAAATGTAGCCAGAATTAGACTTCTGATGAAGAAATCTGAAATAAAAAAGAGACCAGGTTGCAGCTGGATTCTGGGAAAGAAGGGTACTGTTACATTCTTTGTTGGAGAGAGATCCCATCCAGAGTCTCGGGAGATATATGCTTTACTTGGAATATTGATAGAAAGAATCAAAGCTTTAGGATATATTCCTAAAACATGCTTTGCTTTGCATGATGTTGATGATGAGGAAAAAGGTTTTCTTCTTTCTGAGCACAGTGAAAGACTAGCAGTTGCCTATGGGATCCTTCTTCACCTGAAGCTACAATTCGTACAACAAAGAATCTGAGAGTCTGCGGTGATTGCCATAGCGCCATAACATACATCTCCATGATTGTTGATCATGAAATCATATTGAGAGATTCTATTCGCTTCCATCACTTTAAGAAGGGTTCTTGCTCCTGCCAAGGATTCTGGTGAGCTTTTCATTGAAAAGAGTAATTTAGGAATTACACTTACTTATTGCTAAGAGCAGGGAATATGATTTTTGTATTGTATTTTACTTTGAGTGAAAGACAATCTTCTCTCATTTGGTATCATGAATTTCACATATACATGCCTGAAGTTTCATGATTAACACAGATCCCAACGTTCAGATTCTCTACAGTTGAGGCGGCTGCAATTAGATCCAGACAAAATCAGTATTGTTTAACAAAATTAAACTGGATTAATCCCAACCGTACATATCTTACTTGTAGAATTCGAGCTGCTCAAACTATTAAAGGGTAGTTTGAGATGTGGAAAATGTGCATTCCTTCCCAAAATCAGTTATTTTTGTCGTCTTATCTATATTATTATTCATGAGATCTGATCGAGAAGCTTAGAATATCAATGCAGGAGCGGACTGTCAAGAGAAAAATTTTATTCTTTCTCCCTATATTAAAAATTTCGAAGCAATTCATAAAAATACTTTTTGCTAACAATCATTCAATATATCAAAAGAGCCACTGTTCCATAAAATTTATTTGTTTAAAATTACAGCAAGATGTACTGTTATTTTTTTATATTATTTGTAAAATGTAAGTACCTATCATAAGATGATTCATATATGTTGAAAATAAATTTCTGCTATCACTCTTTTAATTAACAAGATCCTTTCATGTAATTATTTTTTCTAAGTAATATGTATGACTTATTGATGAGGACATCAGCCAGAGATTTCGACATGTGTACCATCGACGGAATCGTAGATCGACGGCTATGATTCAGAGCCTTTATTTTTGATGTATTTGATGTTTAGTTTATTTTGCATTTCAGTTTTTCTATTTTACCCCTATGAGTAATTAGTTCTTATTGTAATCTTGAGAGCATTTGAGTCTATTTCTATTCTTTATTATTGAGACATATATATATATAAAGGTCTTTTTCTTTGTAAGAGGTTAATGATGAATTAATAAAATTTTCAGATTTTGAGTTCTTGTTTGTGAGCTCTTGAGAGGAGAGGTGAAGCCTATAAGAGGCTTAAACGAAGTACCAAATAGCCCATTCGGGAGAGCTCTTGGTTTTCTCTATTTTCTCTTGTCTTTTCCTTCTTCCTATACCCGCCACCACTCCTAACCCTTCCTCCTTGCCACTGGCCAAAACCCTCCCTA